AAGCTTAAAGACTAAATTGAGGATTGTAGAGGAATTTCAGCTGTCATTTTCCTATGAGCTATGTAATATTGTCTGCTGTCAAAAAACTAAAATAAGAAGAAAAAAAAAAAGAAGAAAAGTAAGAACAATGTTCTATATAACTGATTAATTATTCAATTAGACTGATGGAGTTCTTTTTAAATTACATTAATCAATTTATTTTGGGAGTCAGGTAGTGTAACATGTTTTAGATAGTCAGGTAGTGTAACACGCCCTGTAGGCCCACCACCCGCAGGGAGAGGCATTGTGAATGAGTGCATGCCAAGCCTGGTGGCAGGCGTAAGCGGATGTCTGGGCATGCTGATTCCCTGCAGTACAGACTAACTCTTAGGGCGTGGAACATCAACTCTCTGGTGGGCAAGGAGCCGGAGCTGGTGCGGGAGGACTACCAGCTAGATATAATTGGGCTCAACTCAACTCACAGTGTCGGTTCTGGAAACAAACTCCTGGAGAGGGCTGGACTCTTTTCTTTTCTGGATGCTCAGGGTGAGAGGTGCTGAGTGGGTGTGGGGATACTCACAAGCCCCTGGCTGAGCGCAGATGTGTTGGAGTTTCAGGTACTTCAGGTTGCAGAGAGGAAGTCTATGACTGTTGTATGTGTATATGCATCCAACAGCAGTTTGGAGTACACAGTCTTCTTGGAGTCTCTTGGTGGAGTCCCACCTGGGGACTCTGTAGTTCTACTGGGGGACTGGTCTACTGGACTCTACTCATGGATTGGCCGTTACAAACACCATGTTCAAGCATAGGAATGTTCACAGGTGTACTTGGTACCAGAACACACTAGGCTAAAGATCAATGATCGACTTTGTAGTAGTTTTGGCAGGTCTGCAGCCGTATATTTTGGCTTCAGGGAATTGGAATTGAAAACCCCACGGCCCCTGTCCATGGGGTTTTCAAGAGAAGTTCTCTTTAATCCTGGGGGAGGATGGGGATATGGAGTTCGAGTGGTTCATGTTCAAAGCCTCCATTGTGGAAGTGGCGGATAGGAGTTGCGGCCGAGAAAACCTTTGGTGCCTGTCGTGGCAGCAACCTAAGAACCCACTGGTAGACACAGGGGTGAGGGAAGCCGTGAGGCTGAAAAAGGAGGCCATTTGGGCTTGGTTAGCCCAGGGGTCTCTGGAAGCAGCTGACAGGTATCGGGTGGCTTGGAGGGCTGTGGCTTCAATGGTTGAGGAAGCAAAATCCAGGTTGTGGGAGGACTTCGAGGAGGCTTTGGAGAATGACTTTTGATTTGCCTCAAGGAGGTTCTGGAGGCTCAGGAAAGGAAAGCAGGGCTTGCCCAGGCTGTAATCAGCAGGAGTGGAGAACTGCTGACCTGAACTGGGGACATAGTTGGGCGGTGGAAGAAATACTTTTAGGTCTGCATATCCGGGAAGACTTACCAATAACCTTGGCAGAGGTCATTGAGGCAGTCAGAAAGCTCCTCAGTGGCAAGGCGCCAGGTGTGGATGAGATTTGCACTGAGATGCACCTCCAAGTCCGAGGCCATGGTTCTCTGCGATAAAACAGTGGATTGCTCTCTCCGGGTGGGGAGAGAGTCCTTGCCCCAAGTGAAGGAGTTCAAGTGTCTCTGGGTCTTGTTCACGAGTGAGGGTAGGATGGAGCGTGAGATTGACAGATGGATTGTCTCTGCGTCAGCAATAATGCAGACGTTGTGCCGGACCGTTGTGGCAAAGAGGCAGCTGAGCCTGAAGGCAAAGCTCTTCATGTAATCATGTAGAGTAACATGTTTCAGATAGTCATGTAGGGTAACATGTTTTAGATAGTCAGGTAGAGTAACATGTTTTAGATAGTCATGTAGAGTAACACGTTTTAGATAGTCTGGTAGAGTAACATGTTTTAGATAGTCATGGTAGGGTAACATGTTTTAGATAGTCACGTAGAGTAACATATTTTAGATAATCATGTAGAGTAACATGTTTTAGATAGTCAGGTAGAGTAACATGTTTTAGATAGTCAGTTAGAGTAAATTCAAACTGGATTACATGGCAGAAGTATATTATTGATTTGTCTTTACAAGACATGCGTGCATTACATCTTCATATTCATGATGTCTGTTGTAAAATGTTTCTTCTTGTGTAAAACAAGGTCGGTTATCAGATTCCCAGAAAAACAAACAGATGTGGTAAGGTGATCTCAGGTTTACAGCAGGACTTTGATCAGGAAGTTAATTTTGCTGAGGTGAGCTGAGGTGAGAGGATTCGTCAACGCATTATACTCAGGTATGTTTGCAGTTAAACAAATTCAATATTCTTATAGTTTCAAAAATAGTTTTTAAAGTTTCTATGTTCTGTAATCATCTATTGATTGAGTTGTTTTGTTAAGTTACTCAGATGTAAGAACGACAACTAAAACTTGAGCCAGGATGTGTTCGTCACTAATGAAACAATTTTAGTATTAAGATGAATGTAAGAGAGAAATTCACTTTTAAGTCAGTTTTATATTCATAAATACGTTTAAGGGATAGCAACAATCACCCACCCTGGTTACACATTTTAATGGGTCAAAATGTTCATTAAAAAAAAAACATTTTGAAATTTAGATGACTATGATAATAATTTTCTACACCTATTGTATCAGTAGGTATAGTAGTTTAAATTGTGTCTGGGACAAGGGTGTTTTGTGGCATAGGAAGGGTTTAGACAAAAAAAAAAGAAATCAGTACCAAAATTTGGTATTTCAAATTAGTTTCATATATAAAAATCTTTTAAAAACAGGAATAAGTGTGTTTGTAAGTGATATTTTTAAAGTTGTTTGCCTGGGACATGATTTTTCCCAATTCTCAAGAATGGGTGCTATATCAATTAGAGTTATATTCATACTCTAAACTATGATTTAAAGCTAAAGACAATTTTTAAAACTTAATAACTTTTTAGAGACTCAGACTGATTACTCAGCTGTACTTCCCTGAATATCTGCATGATTTGCTTCTTTATACGGCTGCACTTCATTTTAGAGAAAGATGTTATTACATTACATTAGATCTTTACTTGATATATAATTTAATTTATTTTATAACTCCAGAAGCAGCTCTTTGGTAAATTATCCTTTACATTTGCATCAGGATCAAAATAATATATTTAATTACAGGAAATTATTAAATTACCTTGCTTTATATGAAATAGTAAAAGTAGATCTATCTTGTAACTTTATCCTTGAGAAGCATTCTGAAAATTGTTGTGAAGATATAATAATGTCATAAATAAAGATAGGCTAATAAGTGACAGGGGCGATATACCTTTACTTTGGTAAAACCATGAATTTATTACAACCTTTGAAATCACTAACTGTGCTTTCAATCTTCAGTTATTTAATGACTCTTGATTTAAAAACACAATATCTTCAGCTAAATATTGCAAAGTGACATCACATGTCTTAAGGCAGAAGACTTTGAGTTTCCTGCTCCTAAAGGTCAGACTATAGAAGCATTGATGACTTTTTGTAAATGATCACTTTTGAAAATAAAACCTCTGGTCAAAATGTTGTGACTAAATAAAACCTTTTGAGGCACATTTCCTTCTTCTCTCTGCCAGTTTTTCCCTGCACAGACGTGATGTGCTTTTATTAGAGAGAAAAGACAAAAAGGAAAAAAAAATGTGAGGAAACTATGAAATGTGTCCAGACAATGTGCTTCTGACAAAGATAAATATTAATGGCCACCATCAGAGTGATAAATCATACTTTACTATCTTGAATAATGTTCAGCAGAGGTCAGTCACAGTACAATGGGGAAATGTGTTGATGAACCGTTCTTTGTTCAGTACGGGTCGAGGGGTCATCTTAATGTATCAGATTACAATTTTAACAACAGAGTGCTACTTTCATTATTAGTAAGAAAACGTCTATATTAATGTAACTCCATGTTCATGTGTTCAAGTCCGTAGATCAGCAAAAACAGTCAGAGGAACCGGAGAGCAGCGGCAGCTAAACGCGCCAGTCCGTTCACTCAACCGGACGTTGATGACCATATTAGCATTTTAATACCACAATCTCACATTAGCTTTGAACAGTTAGCACTTTAACATGGCCATACCATAGACTGTAAAAATAATGGACGGGACAAGGTCCCCGGTCTAGTGAAGCTTTTATTTTTAGAGCTCCCCCTACTGACTGGCTGCAGTATAGGTCATAAACCCCGCCTCCTCAATGATAACAGATGGGATGTGGGTCAAACTGTAAAGTTAAAATACTTGTCACATAATTTTTTTCCAAACCTAAACTCTGCTGTGATCATTAGTTATTATCACCCTACATTGTGTTCAAGTGCTCATTTTTCTGTGAAGATTGTTTTAAATAAGTTATTTGAGGTTTATAAACTGGATTTTACGTCATATTTGATGATGATTGACAGCCGCCGATCTTGCGTAGCTCTCTTTGTGAATAGCAAAAGTTATGTAGTGAAGGAAAGCCGAGACGCCATTGAATTTTCCCGTTCAGTTTTTTCATCTTTTTTGAGCTGGCAAAATGAGTTGTTCTGCAGTAAACTGTTCTAACTGACCTGTGGGAGCTAAGGGATCTTCGCAGATTTTTCGGTAAGTAAAAAAGTGTGATTTATGTGTCATTGTTTGGTTAAAGTCGTTACCTAGCTAGCTAACACATAAGCAGTCTAAGGTTAGCTGAAATGTTGTAAAGCTAGGTTACTTATCCAGCATGATTTATCTTTTTATTTTATTTTATTAAATGAGCAAACCTAATAACTGACATGCTATGTTTCTTGATATTGTTATGTCGTTATTGTGATTGAAATTGTATTTAAAACCAAGAATCGTAATATAAAATCCGCTCACAGATGCGGTTCATTGACTGTACAGTTATTTTACAGCAAAAATAAGTGATCTGGTAAGGTCTCAAAAAAGTATCTAGGGCAAAAACAAAGTCACATAATTTAAATCTGGCCTGCATCATTACTAATGTGTACATGTTTACAGTCTGAGTGATAAGTGGGCTATACCGAGAGTAACAGGTTTTACTTTCACCGCTCAGGCTGAAATTCATAGTACTATATACGAGGGTAGAATATTTCTCTATGTATCCAGATAAAACTAAAGGTAAGCTCTGATTCAATATAACTGTTACTGATTGAAGAGACTAACCGAAACATGAAAGCAAACATCAACAACCGGCGGCGGTGTGATGTAATATTAACCGAGCATCATGCTGCTTAAACTGATAAATGTTCTGCATTGTCTTCCACACACCAATTCAACAGTCACAAGTTGATCATATTGTAAATTTAATGACGCTCATTGAGAAATTGTTCTAAAAATTGACAAAACCTGACAAAAATTGTGGTGATTGTGACTGTGTATCTGTATTTATCACCTTTGAAAAGAACGTGCTAACCCAGGAGACCAGTGTTACACACAACAGGCTGCTGTTATTGAAGTTAGGAGGAGACAGAGGCACAACAAAAGAAGGCATAAAGATCGCGTTTTTCCCCACACATGTTAATATGTTTTAAATGTCATGCATTTATTTTTGATTTCGCTTCAATAATCGTTAACGAAGAGAAACACCAGGATTAAACTACAGGCTATTGTTGCCTTTTTATAGCCAAAGAAAACTGAACATTCACAGCCTGCATTCAAAAGAATTTCTACATTGACATTTATGTCGTCCTATTTCCCTCTTTTCGCCAACATTACATGTTAAACTGGGATTTCCTTTTTCTCAGGTTGTTTTTGAGGAATTACAGCTAAAAAAAAATTCTACTTTGCATACAGTACATCCTCTGATAAATAAAGTGAAGTACTTTGATTGCATTTCTGTGGTGTTCCTGTAGGAGACCATGATGCAGCCAGACTGAAGCAGCAGGTTGTGAAGGTGGACGCCATCATCTTGTCTTTGCAGTGCTGATTCTGAAGAGAACGCCTTCACATAGGACTCAAAGGTAAAATGATCTCTCATATGATTGGACCGTGTTATTGTAACCGCTATCGGCATCAAAGTAATTTTAGTAACAATTTATAATCCTTCCTAAAATGTAAGGAAGACTAGCAGAAGATTTTAACAGCCTCTATGGTTCTGCAAGAAGTCTAGTTCATGTTTAAATTGTTCTTCTTTCTGTCTTCAAGGAAATCAATGCCCAAAGGAAACAGCAGTCCAGACTCTGATTCCAGCTCCGGTGAGGTTCTGCACACAAATTGGCTGTCTGATTATATGAGAATATTTAACATTAGTTTAATTTATCAGGCTGGCCCATGTGATGACAGTTTAAAATAATCTTCAAAAGAAAGTGGCAGGAACACTTTTGTCTTAAAACATAAATTCATAAAGCTGATCATATTATTGGATTCATCATGTCTTATTATATATTTTGTTTTTCCCCATAAATAGTTATCCTGTCTTAAAAACAAACTTTAGAACCTGAAGTTTAGCAGAACCTGAGGACAGATCTGATTTCAGGTCTGAGGCATAAACATCACAGTAAAATTCATTATACTTTACATTTAACTCCATGATTGTTTTTCTTTATTACAGAAGATGCCCTCAGATTCAGATCCATCAGCAACCCCTGACAACATGGAGGACTCGTCCCCTGAGCGTTTCCTTTCCTCTCTCGATGGAGTTCTTCTCTTCAGTTATTAACTCTTGAAAACAGCAGCACAAAATGCCAGACTGTTTGACAAGTCTTTGATTGAATAAATTTAAATGGAATCTCATACGCATCTTGCTATGCTTATTGGCTTTAAATGTTTAATATTAAATAAGTTTGAAGGCCATTTATCTCAGACGAGCCCAGCTGTGACAAGCTGAGCTCGTCTGTTAGCTTTGCTGTTGTCTTAGCTGTTGTTGGTCAAGAAGAAATTAATGTCAGTTCAAGGCCTTTTCAAATGTGAGCTATAAACTTAACTGCTAAATTATTTTACTGTGACCAACACTTTGTTGTACTCCAGTTAATCAGAGACAGTCATATCAGATTTTTATAAAGTTTATTTAAACATTTTATGAAAAGAAATCTTCAATAAACAACCCCTGGCTTCATTAACCATGTGGAAAATAAGTAAGGGAGACCATCAGGTCCAATTGCTGGAACATAGGAGAAAGTATAAAAAATAATTTAACAAAGAAATCCAAACAAAAATCAAATAAAGTATAGAGATCCTGGATGATTGTTTGACTGTTAAAATATGATGGAAAAGCAAATCCAACACAACCCTCCAGCATCTGGCCTTTCAAACACAGGGCAACATCATGTTAAGAAAAATAAATTAAATATTGACCTGGATCTCTGTGTTTTATCTGAGGATGACTATGGTAGCCTTCTCACTGTTCACTGTCACAAAGCACCAGACTCTGTCCACCTTCTTCAGACGTCGATCAGCTCCTCTGGGTGATGGCAGAGAGGACTCTTCATCTGGGAGAGCTGCTGGTGTAAGGTCATTTCTACCACAGTGGATGAGCAGGGCATCTGGCACAGCTCTTAGTCCAAGCACAGGTGAAAAAAGGAGGAGGTTCCTTCAAACTATGTGACCCCAGCCTGACCTCTGTAACAGGTGTGAAGATGAAGGTTGAAATTAGTCATTTTTAGGTTCTGTTGATTGTAAAATGGAAAAGAAAACATCACCTTTCTATTTAACATTTAGCTGGTGTATGACTCAGTGTGATTTTTAATTTTAGAAGACTGTATTGTTAACAATAGCTTGTTTTTACAATCCTCTTTATGAAACTTCAAAACAATCACAGGATATAAACTTTTAACAGATGATTTTAACTTACACTTCACCTCTGTGGAAGATGTCAGACCAGCTGCTTTTATCTCTTCTTTGCCTAAATGAAGATACAAAAAACGATTGATTTACTGTTCACTTAAATATATTAGAAAAGCAGACATGAATCGCATTGCAGACTATCAGTTTACAACATATCTTACCACCTGTAGCCTACTGTCTGTGGTGCTAACCTAGCTTAAATATAGCTTAAATATAGAACGATTTCGTTAAAAACAGAGGACCCAGCAGCTTACGTATTTTCAATAATGATCAAAATAGCGAGATTTTTAAAAACACAGTGTGTTTAAATATTAGACTTTGAATACGATGGTTTATTGTACTTATACATTTCTTCATCGTAGACCGGCAGAGCGTTTTCAGTGTAGCTGGGCTGCGTAAGTCATCAGGGCAGTACGCTGAGTGGGCGGGGCGTGTTACCAGGGCTCCTGCCCCTGGACTCTACTGCGCAGACTCTGGCTCCAAATAATGTCAAAATCGCAAGATGGAAGCGCCCGTAAGGGGCGTATTTTGGCTTCAAGAACGTTGAGTGGGAACAGCTACAATGCGCGCCCACTGGGCCATACCCATTAGCGATAATTCGCATAAATGCTAATGACTTTGGCGCTAGCCAAACAGGCTACATAAACAACTCACCACTGAAGTTGAATTCACTGCCTTAGCTCCGCAATGACGGTGGATTCAGGCAGAGCTCTCCTCAGTATGGGCAATATCAATCTAGAATTAGTTCAATTTCATTAAATAGTATTTCTCCTCTCATCAAGTGGGTAAATGTAGCTGCTCATGTTACAGCGGCAAAAGAGCGAACACGGGAGTAAAAGAAGGCATAGCCTGAGCTAAGGCTAGCTCTTAGCCGATTGGTCGGCTCACTGACTTATAGAGTTCACCGATTGGCTCACTTGCAAACTCATCAAATCACTCAAAGACAACAACAATAAGTTAACCCTTGGTAGTGACTTGATCAGACAGCCAGATATGATAGTATTTGTTGTTTCAATCATCTTCTTTAGGCATAAAATAATTTCTAACTATCTTTCAATAACTTTATATCTTGAGTTACACCTCCACTACATATGTTATTTTTAAAATAAAGGAATGTTTTTAAAATAAAGTGTCATAGTTAAACCTGGGCTACACTTAACAATATCATCAAGCAGACGTCCTAAAGAAACATTATAGTGTTTTTTTATCCAGCCATTTGTTCTACTCTATCACAATCAGGTGATCTCTTGCGATACTCAGTGCGATTCCCCCTGAGTCTTCCTTCTAGTCAACATTAACTTAAAGAGTAACTAAACGCTAAAATCACTTTTTTCAACTATAGACCTCTGTATTTGAGTATTAAGTAGTGTTATGGGTCAATTCAAGTCCAAATCTCGACATTTGAGTACAAAGTATTGAAATTCGAAATATTGTGTTAGAAATGTGCATAGTGTCTGCCCTTCTGTTTGAAAAAGTCTAACGGCTGTGTGGAGTGAATGCCTGTCGAAGTTGATACATTGACATTCTAAATGCATTTTTTTAAATTCCAGGGTCGAGCACTACAGCTGAAAATATGGGGTTTAGTTACCCTTTAAAGGTTTGTAAAATATAGTGTTTTCAATACTGTTATTGGTGTGCAAACAATTAATCTTCTATAGGTAATCTATGAAACATTTAATGGGGCGCAAAAAAATGGCGGGGATAATGATTGTAGATGGTTTATAAACCAATTATTAATCATTGATAAAATATTCATTATCTATCTAAAAAATATTTATAGATGCTTTACAAAGTATTAATAAGGGATTATAATCTTCAGTTCCAACTATATAATAACCACCCAAATCATGCTAATAGACGTTTTATAAAATATTTACAAACCATGAACCAATATCTGGTCCATGTGTCTCTGTAATGTTTATAGATGTTTTATAAACCATCTCTTAAAGGTTTATAAATCATTTGGTCATCATTAACAAACACTTCATAAATTGTATGAAATGTTATAATGTGTGCATTAATATACTGATAACATAACATAAATTATAGCATTACAAATCATTAGTAAACACTATTAACTATAACTATATACTATAGCAAACAATTATAAAAACAAACAAACAGACTAAAAAGGTACAAGAAAACAGGCAGGAAACATAATAGACAATTAAAACCGCAAGCGGTGATGAAGAGCCCTCACACCCCGGTGCATGTCGGGGTGTGTCGGGGTGTGTCTACTGCTGCAGTAGAGTGCAGCAGCTGCAGAACGTGGCTAAGCAGCAGGCCGTGCAGTTCGATTTGTGTAAAAGTACTGGCATGTTGAAATAGGCAACATAATGAAATTTTGAGCAAATCTGACATTGTATATGGGCGGTAGTACTTATTCTTTGCACTAGGGGGCACTATGGTTAAAATTTGTTATTGCTATGTGACTGTGTTCAGAGGCCAACCCTGATTATACCAGTGAAATTAGAAAAAGATCAGACAAAGTATATAAGATGTAGTACTTACTCCTTGCAGTAGGGGGCGCTATGGTTAAAGTAAATGGTTGTTATATCAATGTGTTCAGAGGCCAACCCTGATCATACCTGGGAAATTTTAAGCAGATCCGACAAAGTATATATGATGTAGTACTTAGTCTTTGCATTAGGGGGCGCTATGGTTAAACTTTATTATTTTTTTGTGTCACTGTGTTCAGAGGCCAACCCTGATCATACCTATGTAATTTCACAAAGATCATACAAAGTATATAAGAGTTACAGCCACTTCCTGTTTGATGAGGATGTGATTTGTGAACTTCCTGTTGAGTTTTGGGCGTGGGTTGAAGAGGCTTTTTTGTAGGTTTTGTCATGTTGGAAATGCATAGCAAAATTCAGAATTATAGGTTCAACGTGCTGCGGGGGCTGAATGTTTGAAATATTGTAGGGGGCACCACTGAGCCATTTAGCCACGGCTACTCACTTAAATGGTATAAGATGTTTGACTTTACTACCAGGATTATATGTATGAAGTGTTGGGACAGTACGACTATGTTAAGCCCCTGAAAAAACTACTTCCTGTTTGATGGCGAGCGACGCGTCCATATGGCGACAATGTTGGACGTAGGCGTTTGAGCTTGAAAGTGTTGTATGGCCAAGGTGTTAGCATGGTCCACACCAATTTTGAGGGGAAAATGAGCTACCGTGTAGCAATGGCTAATGCTAATTGAGAAGCAGTAACTTCCTGTTGTCAACAGGTGGCGCTGTGACTAATCAAAAAATGTCACCCTCAACAAATATTCACCCTCCGTGGTCTGAAAAGTCTACTCAACAAAATCTGCTGCCTTCTTTGGGTCAATACAATTTAATCGCTTTCCCTTCCACGTGAACCTGAGGATGGCTGGGTGAGGTGTGTTTCACCTTGTGCTGCCACAGAGCTTTCATTACCGCCTCCGCTGGTCTGAACGCTCCTTAGTCATATCCTCATAGATGGAGAGCGTGCTGTCTTCCCATGGTATCCCCTTCTGTTTCTTTGCTGCGGCCATAACTTTCTGTCGAGCTGTATAACATAGAAACTTGACCAGAATCATCCGGGGCGGTCTGTTGTCCTCCGGACGAGGTCCGAAGCTTCTGTGGCTCCTTGCGATCTCATACTCATCCCCCATTAGGCCCAAGCCATCAGACCGTATATTTTTTATGTAGACATTCATCTCGGTACCTGCGTCCTTTCCTTCTTTAAGTCCAATCAGTTTGTTATTGTTTCTTCTGTTTCTGTTCTCCTGATCATCAACTCGGCTCCAAAGTTGCTCCACGCATTTTGAAATGTCAATTTTTAAACCTTTAATCACATGTCTTTAGGCAGAAGGACTTTGAGTTTCCTGCTCCTAAAGGTCAGACTATAGAAGCATGGATGACTTTTTGTAAATGTTCACCTGAAGAAAACCTCTGGTCAAAATGTTGTGACTCAATAAAACCTTTAGAGGCACATTTCCTTCTTCTCTCTGCTAGTTTAGTTTTGCCCTGCGCCTGCGCCTGCGCCTGCGTCATGTGCGTATATTTAGCCCTTTTCTTACTTTATGTAAAGCTTTTATTCTGAAAAGACAAAAAGGAAACAACATGGGAGGAAACTATGAAATGTGTGTTTTTGATTTATTTTTGTGGCTTTAATGTAGAGATAGGACAGTGGATAGAGTTGGAAATCAGGGAGAGAGGGAGTAGGGAATGACATGCAGGAAAGGAGCACAGGCCGGATTTGAACTTGGGCCACCCGCTTGGATGAATAGCCTCCATACTAACCACTGCACCACCAGCGCCCCAGACAATGTGCTTCTGACACAGATAAATGTTAATGGCCACCATCAGAGTGATGAATCATACTTTATTATCTTGAATAATGTTCAGCAGAGGTCAGTCACAGTACAATCTGTGAAGTTAGCTTGAAGGGAAGTATGTTGATGAACTGTTCTTTGTTCAGTACGGGTCGACTGAGGGGTCATCTTAATGTATCAGATTACAATTTAAACAACAGAGTGCTACTTTCATTATTAGTAAGAAAACGTCTATACTAATGTAACTCCATGTTCATGTGGTAATATATTCTGGCCTAAATGTGATGTGAGATAAATATGCTGTATGTCTGTGTTCTCAGCTGAGAGCGTTTGTCTCATTTCTAAACATATTTTTAGGATGTTCTGCAGAATGGATGGATTCTTCTGTAAACCAAAGCGCTGTACCTTCAGTGTTTTGGTTTTACAGAACATTGTGATGCTCCTTTTGTTGACTGAATCCTATGGAGGTAAGCATTACTCAAACTTTATGAGTGTAAAGGGAAAAATACAGGTCAGATATCAAAACTGAAAACCTTTTGTCTCTTCAGGAGAGTCTCAGGGGGTTGGACCATCTCAAACAATAACAGCATTAGTTGGTGAAGACGTTATCCTGCCATGCCAACTTGAACCTGCAGTAGATGCTGTTTCCAAGACTGTGGAGTGGGGAAGACCTGATCTAAAACCAAGATTTGTCCATGTGAGGCATGAAGGTCTAAACCTTTTGGACAACCAGAATCCATCCTTCAAAGGAAGAACATCAGTGTCTGTGGACAAACTGAGACATGGAGACCTTTCCCTGAAACTGTCCGCAGTGAGACTCTCTGATAATGGAGTCTATAGATGCTACTTTCCCTCCCAGGAAAAACAGTCTACTGTTGAGCTTGTTGTTGGTAAGTTATGTATGTGTGGTGAAAACATTCCGACATAACTCAGATTCAAGGGCCTCCAATAGAGCTGTACCTTCACATTAAAGAAAGAGCCAATGGAGCTTCTTTTGAAGGTAAACTTAAATTTTAAAGCTGCTCATGTTGCTTTGCCTTTCTGTTTGAGTCTGTCCAGCACTCTTTAGATCAGGCACCATTGTAGAATTGTAGAATTGTAGAATTGTAGGTATTTATATCCTTGGTCCTGTTCACAGAACTACATAGTTTAAATATAGGGTAGGGTCCGTTTCTTTTTTCCCTGAGAGGATCTCTGGTATGATTTTGTCATTTGGAACATTGGTCACTGTTACAACAGTAGTTAGGGGGTTAAGGTCTTTTTATTCTTCACCACAAAGGCCTTAATTTACCTTTATTTTAAACTATATCCCTCATACTATTCCTGGTGGACATTTCTACATGTTGGACTGTTTATTCACGATTTGTTCTACTATCATCAGGGTCTTTCTCCCCTCCTGCCATCACTGGTCTTGACAGAAGCACCAGCGGAGTCGTGTTACAGTGTGAGTCTGAAGGCTGGTATCCAGAGCCTGAGGTGTTGTGGCTGGACGGTGAGGGAAACCTCCTCTCTGCTGGATCTACAGAGAGCGTCAGAGGTCCTGATGGTTTCTATACTGTCAGCAGTAGAGTGACTGTGGAGAGGAGACACAACAACATGTTCACCTGTAGAGTCACACAGAACAACATCAACCAGACCAGAGAGACACACATACATGTTCCAGGTGAGTTTAGTCCCTAACACCTCTAACCCATCTATCTCTGTTTAACAGCTGAGGATGTATTTCATGTGATTCATATTGTTCTGTATGTTTGATCATTTCAGCTGATATGTTTCTGACCTCTTCTTCTGCTGCTGCTCGGGTTGGTATCGTCGTGTTCATTTTACTCAGTTTGGTTGTAGCAGCTGCTGTTGTTTATTGGAGATGGAGTCCAAACCAAAGAAAAGGTTGGTGCAGCTCTTTTGGTTTAACATTTTTTAATGGGCCCTATTTGACAGCGTTCAGTGTATTGTCTATACTGCATGGCACACAGCAATCTGGGGTGTGTCTGACTATATGTTGTGCACAGAGGGCAAAGAGGATGGATTATGTATCTTCATTATACATAGGTGTGTTTTGGATGTAACATGAATCAAACCAATCAACGCCTGGTGTGTTGATATTTACACGACATCACATTTTTTCTTAAATAGACTGAACTTAGACCGGCTCATTAACTTCTCTGCTTTGTGTCCTGTGAACACACACAACACACACTGGATTCTGTATGACATATGTTGATGGTGGATTTGAGTATATCACTGAATTATTCCCACAACATCAGAAAAGATCAGAAAGACACAGTGAATATTTCAGCTTGAGGCACACAAATGTATCCTCATTCATTATTAAAATACGCCAACAGGATCTATGATAACTCATGTTCAGTGACTCAACATAAAGGAAGGATGTAAACATTTACAGACTGATTTTATCTGCTGGAATCCTCAGCTGTATTCTGTGATGCTGCTAATGAACACTGGACAGTCTGTGTTCATATCTGAGGCACTCAGTGGCACTCATTCTGTGTGTATTAGACAGAACACACACTGGAGTGAGTGTGCATGGAGGAGAGCGGAAGAGTGCTGTTGTGCTTCCTGTGTGTGTGTTGATTTATTGACAGGATCAGAAATAATGACTATCTCTGTAATGAAACATTAACAGTTTCCATTATTGTCACAGATGAAGCAAAGAGACGTCAGTCTGAAAATGAAAGGGCAGAGAGAGAGCAGCTCTCAGGAAGAAAGGAAACACTTGAAGAAGAGTTGAAGAGGAAAGAGGAAGAACAGACAGATCTGGAACTGATGATTCATAAACTGACAGAGCAAAACAAAAAACTGCACAACCAGATTGATAAAGTCAGAGATGTAGAGGAGAACTCAACCAACATCAGTGAAGATATTGACGAGAAGGTGAAGTCAGCAGAGAAGAAAGCAGAAAGTGACAAAGATCAGGGATACCTTGAGATGAAGACAGTCGCTGTATCAGCCAAAAACCATCTGAAACATAGAAAACAAGTAGATCAGAAACTTAACAATGAAGCAGAGAGCATGCAGATCTTAACAGATGGTTTGTTACAAACAATGTCCGACAGGAAGAAGTCATTAGAGGAGCAGAAAAAGAAAGTCAAAGATGAGCTGGAGGACATTCAGAGGAAACTTTCTTAGACTTGACCTTTAGAGATCATCGACTGACAACAACTGAACAACATTTTCAGTTTGTTCAGCTTTGATTAATATTCTGTTTGTATCAGTCACACAGTGAAACATGTTCACATCACTTTTTAACTTCTCTTAACTCTACATTATTATTGTACATTTTTTAATTATCTACCTTACTTAATGTTGAAAAACGACTTTAACTTTGAATGTTTTATGAAACATTTTTCTTATGTATAGTGAAGAAGCGTTTTTTTGTATTTTGTGCAAATTAATTTGTTGTTTTTAAGATTAATTTGTTGTTTTTTAAGATTCATTTGTTGTTTTTAAGATTAATTTGTTGTTTTTTAAGATTAATCTGTTGTTTTTTAAGATGAATTTGTTGTGTTGTGTTCACCCTAATAGTAAATATTGATATCTGGTCCCTGCTGTATTTTACTAAACGCTTCAACACTTTATTTTCATGCTTTGTTTAAATATAAACTGAAAATCTGATGATTTTAAATGAAAAGAAACAAAAAGCTTGAATTCTTTTTGGACTTTGACAAACAGTTTGAATAAAAACACAGTTTGTGTTTTATTAAATCATTATTAAACTTATTTTAACCGCCTCTCGTGTATTGATTAGTTTTTAACAGTTTGTTGTTATTCATATAAATTCTTTGCTCTTAACCTTCAAACAATCATTCATTCAACTAAATTCAATCTCTCGGTCTATTTTCACAGAGATGTAGAGATGCTGTGGTTCATCTGAAGATTGTTTGTTTGTGAATCATTTTTAAAATAAGGAATATGATTCTACAGAAATGTTGGAGCCTTTAAGTAATTTAACCTTTGACTTAAACAAGACGGGCGCTCAGCTACTTTTAGTTTAAAAAGTTTAATATTTTATATCTATTATATTATACTTTGGTTCTTAAGAAAGCTGATTAATTATTATTAAAACTGGAAAACATTGAATTAATTTACAAATCATTCATCATCTTTAAGAATAAGATTTAAAGGAGCATGGTTTAAAGAGCGGTAAGTTTGAATTATCAACAGTCAGACACTTGAATTATCTTTGTGTACATTTAAAGATCTGTCACACTGTGACTGCGTCTCTTCTGAAACACTCCTATGAAGGTTATGAACCACAATGAGTGTGTTTTAAATCTGCAGCAGCTCTATTGTTATAAACGTGTGAGAATATAAATATATATGACACATCATGGTTTACCAGTTCTACCACACGGTCTCATGAAGAGACCCTGATGCTGTCTGCTAGCAGACGCCCTCAGAGTAAGTTTCATGATTAAGAACATGCACACCCTAATGTGCTGAACTGCTAAACAGATAGAATTTATAATAAACTACAGTAACCACACAAACAGAAATAACAACAGGTGTCTCGTAGTTATGATCACAAATATGTTGTATAAGGTACAAAGTAAGAGCTTGATTAAAAAGGTCACTGAGTTCAAGCTCTAAGAGGTGTTTTCACCTCCCATCTGATAAACTTCTTCAGGTTCTTCCATTTTGAACAGCGTTTGAAAAACTTAAATGTTGTTTTTAGTTTAATTTCTGTTGTAATGCTTCACTATAAGGGAATGAACTTTCATACAGGAAGTCAAACACTTAAAATCCAGCAGCCATTAATACCAGATGCTTAATGTAATAAGTTCCAGAAGTACCCTAACCCTTATTAAGGTTGGTGAGTGAAGAGGAGACAGATTGGCCTTCTGAACAAGATGCTCTCATTGAATCTATTTATGAAATTGTTCTTATAAATAACTTTTGGCATGAGTCCTCTCCTCGCACTCACATGAAGGTGGTCTTCCTCTTGTGGTTTAAGGAGGTAACAACGTCTGTCTTTATATGAATGAGAGATTTAAATGGCCTCACATGAGGATGAACAGTTCATAGAAGAAGCCATTGGTACTATAAAGTTTTTCATTATAGCACATAAGCAAATAAAGTGTTATTGTTTAGTAATAATCATGTTGTTGTGATTTATTAGAACAGACATGGTTCATGCTGAACTATAAAAAAGTTTTATATGTAAGGTCGTTGTGAACAGAATACATTTGGTTAGTTTGATATTAGAGAGTGAGCAGTGGGCACAAAGATGAATGTATAAACTTCAATCCCCTCATCAGACACATCAACATATATCATCATACACTAAACACACTGACAGTCATGATGTTCTTTGCTAACAAATTCCTTTATTTTTAGAATTAATCTCAAACGTTGGCCGCAAAAATTTCAGAACAGAAACTTCAGTAACAACAACCTCAAAACACTAAAAAGCAGCTTTTAAAGACGAAGCATTAAAGTGATACTAAGACATGAAACATCCTGATTTGTGACGTCATCATCAATTCAATTCAATTAAAACAACTTTATTAATCACTCATGGGGCAAGTAGTGTGGAGAGACAAGTTGACGCACAAACAACAGATTACACAAGGAGTTAAAACACAGATAAGACCTAAAGGAGACACTAATATTAGACAGGCTGATTAGAGGTCAGTCAGACTGAATAAGAAATAAAAACACTAGAACGATTAGTCAAATAAAATATCTGAGGCACTAGAAAGATGAAATCATTAACCTAAGGAGCATTCAGTAATCTGATCGCAGAGGGGATGAATAAGTAATTGAGTAGCAGTTAGTTTAACAGGCAGGTAAAACATAACGTCGACGTGATGGCATTAGACAAAATTCACTGAAGAGTGCATGACCAGAAGAAGCTAAAATACTCTCGGCCTTCCTGAGGATCTGCTGGTTACAAAAAGAGTTTTAAATCTCTCTGTTTCACTCCGATTATCTTTGAACAGATTTTAACAATTCCTGTTAGACTGTTTCTGTCTTTAACTAAGAGCTTGTAAACCTAACAGATAAAAGAAAAACAAAGGAGGCTCTCAATAAAAGACTGATGAAAACAACAAAATATAACAGGACTGACTGAGAAAGAGTTCAGTTTCCTTAAAAGGTGAATCCTCTGTTGCCCCCTCTTGACGATATCCTCAGTGTTGACATCAAATTTGAGTTGGTCGTCCAAATACGTGCCCAAGTATTTCTATGACCTTACAATCTTCACATTTTTACTATGGATGATGCACTCTGTGGCTGCCTCCTTCTTACGTCTAAAATCAAAGACGAGTTCTTTGTTTTTTGGAACATTTAATTCTAAAAAGTTATCGTCACACCGCTAAATAAAATCAGGGAGAGCTGTCCCATGGTCTTACTCTGGACCCTGGAGGAGAGACAACAAGGCTGTGTCATCAGAAAATGTGACCAGGTGTCTGCCCTCCTGAGAGCTCCTGTAAGCATCAGTATACGTGGTGAAGGGGGGGAAAGATGAGGAGATGTTTAGGGAGTCTGATAAATGGTCATTCATAGACACCCTCTGAGTTCTGTCAGTCAGAAAGTTCATAATCCACAGAACAAGCTGATGAGGCAGTTTAAAATCACAGATCATTCTTTCTCTTAAAGGTGAGACTGCATGGTATTAAAAGCTGAAGAAAAATCAGCAAACAAGGGCCGAGCATGAGCTTGTGTCTTATCTAAAGGTTTGTACAATATTCAAGATCAAAGGTTTTGCATCTTTCACACCTCTCCCTGTCTGGTAGGCAAACTGAAGTGGATCAAGTTTACCCTCCATTGTTGAGAGAACAAGGTTCTGTACAATTTTTTCAAAGGTCTTCATAATTAATGAGGTAAGTGCAACAAGTCTAAAATCACTTACCTCAGACTACTGATCTTTGGAATAGGCACCACTGTGGAAGATTTCTAGATAGCAGGAATAAAATTACAGTCCAATGACATCTGGAAGATTGTTATGTACCTGGTCTAAGGGAACCAAGACACAACATAATAAGTGGCCCCCACTCTTCCCACTCCCAAGAAAGCCAGAAGCCCAGGTCACTTCAGATTACCACAGAAATTTATTTTTTGGAGAAATAATGGCCCTAAAACAATAAACAAAAGGACTAACCCCCAATTCACACATACTCCGTGCGCGCCGCGGTCTGTCAGCGCCACGGTTTTGCTCCGTCGGACGGCTCGCGCCCATTCACACTGGATCCTTTTCTAGGACGTCAGCTCAGCGGAGCGCACCCATGACACATCACAGGAGAACTACAAGATCCCGCGGGAATAAAGAGAAAAACATGCAAACAACATGTTGCTTTGTCTTTCTGAGGATGAATTGTTGTTAATTCAGTTCCTGTTTTGACATAATGTTGATAAAGTGATGAACAATACGATCGATGTATATTGTGTTTTATTTTGAAATTGACCGGATGCTCTGTGTGTTTCCTTGTCTGACTTCCTGTCCGGGCTGTCATATTCTGTCCAGCTTGACGCGTGCCTGCAGAGTACTCCGGTGAAAATAGACTCGCTGCGTATTTGAGCGCAGCGCAGTGCCATGGGTGGCTCGCGCCGGAGACGGACCGCAGCGCGCCGTGTGAACACAATGATAGACTGGAAGTTAAGTACAACGTAGTGCACGGCGCTGACGGACCGCAGCGCACACGGAGTATGTGTGAATTGGGGGTTAGGCAACACCCTAATCTTACCTATCTCAAAAGAAAAGCACTAAAAGACAAATCTCTTACCTACTCTCCTAACACCAAAAACAGGTTTCTTGTCACTGTCACTAAAGAGGACATGGACTTGATTCCTCTCCAAGCTGATTGCAGATCACCACTGCTATACTTACATTCTACTTTATCCTTATACAATCTTTTTCCTTCCTAATCTCAATTTTTCCTTCTCTGTTAATTTCTTTCTTTTACTCATTACTACACGTAATAAAAATATGTTTTTTCTTGAATTAATTTAGGAGCACCAGGACAGAAAGAGTCTAGTTCAGCTGCGTGACCTATGAGATGTTTTCCCGTGGGTGAATGTAGACCACCGTAAAGAAGAGCTGAGGAAACTCTCTCTGCAGGTAAAAGGAACAAAGTGAGATAGAGAGCAGCACCAGATCAGGTGTACATATTTCCTCGCGGACTACCACTGTGTTACAGTACCTCTCATTAATATAAAAACATGCTCCGCCCCCGGTTGATTTGTTTGTAATGAGAGGAGAGCGGTCCAAGCGCACAGGGTACCCAAAGCCGCTTATATGGAGATCCTCTTCAGGAAAACAACTGGATGAAGAAAGTTAAAGAAGATGAGAGAAAATCACCTCTGCATATCCACGTTATATTGGCAAACTTGGGAGATGAGATGAAGGTAGCCTCAGCTTCTTTGGGACAGTGAAAAAGTGTGAACGGATAACGAAGGGAGAACTTGGAGTTAAGTTCATGGAGCTTTTTCTTTACTGTAT